AGGTTCCTTATGTTGCATCTTCTTGTAATCCCTTTTGCTATAGGGAGCACAAGCAATTATTTCTTACCACATTTATAATGTACTTCAAGTTGGTATAAAACTTATAGGACTTTCTTGGATTTGGGCAGGCATTAGTTTTAAGTAAAGGTTATTTAATTCAGTCATTTATAATACAAGGATTATTTTTTAGAATATATTCCATAAAACAGGAAAAAATTCACATATAGAATATTTTAAACCTTCTGTGCCTGATACCTGCCTGTGCAAATAAGAAGTGACCATTTGCTGTAAAAGCTGTAACACATACTCTCTCTGTCTTTCCCAGGATTTCAAGGTGGGGAATCTTTTGGGCAAGGGCTCCTTTGCTGGAGTCTATAGAGCGGTATCCTTGAAAACAGGCCTAGAAGTGGCCATAAAAATGGTAAGTGGCCATTGGATCAGAGAACTGCATAACTATGGGACCTCTAGGCATTTCAGAATTTGGAATGACAAATTACTGGCGAGAAGGAAGACATAACCACATTTCATTCACTGATCCCTTGGTTTGCCACAGTTTCATCTTGTCATTTACCTGATCATTTCCTTTCCAGGTTACTAAGGTTGTTTTCTACTAATTATAGTTCATTGTCTTTAATTGCATAAAGCAAAAATAGCAGACACTGATGCCCTATGATTCCAATCCAGTTTTGTGAGCATTTCATATTTGAAGATGAACGAAAGGGCATTTTTGTAAGAGTTCTCAGTACAGAATAACTTTCAGTGCCAGGACTTTTTGTGGTTTGGCTAGCTCATTATGTATATAATTACATTATGTGAGTAATTCTGTTGCTCATTGCGTTAAACTCATTGTTTAGCTTGTTTTTTTATTTGTCATTCTTTAAGTAATATGTGGGCAGACTAAGATTTGGACCTTGGCATGTTTAAAGTTTTTTCCACAAGGAGATAGGTAACATTGCCAATAGTGAGGGTATAATGGGAGTTGCAGTTTAATAACATATGGAACAGTTCTCCCACTTGTGCCTCTGTTTGCATTTTGAAGGAAGCTGCTCTTGGCACTATTTCAGTGGTACCAACATGATTTTGAGGGAAGCTGCTATTGACACAACTAGCAGCTTGTGGGTGATTTTTATTGAGATTGCAGTTGTTTGAAGTTAAAAGCAAAACACAGTGCTAGGTCCAACCATATTTTTAATACTGTGGTCCAAATCTTGTTTTAGTGCTGACTAAAGTAAGCCCATTGAAACCATTAGATTTATCTATGGATTGATTTACCATTCAACAACTGATTGAATGAGTCTGCTGTAGTTAGGACTAACCAACTGGATCCAACCAGCCAGTGTGTAATTCAACTGTTAGCCTATATTATTTGAGATGGTCTTATGTTTCCAGTGCAATTTATAGGGATGCAGGAGAAAGCATGATTATCTGGGGAGTAAGTCCCATTTTATTTTGTTGGACTTGCTTCTTAGATAATGTTCTTAGGATTCCAGCCATCCTGATTAAAAACTAAGACTGAAAATAAGCAGGCTGACATTTTCATTAATGTGCACTGTAATGATCAACACAAGTGTTGATATTCTCTACTCTCATTCAGCTAAATTCAAATGTAAGGGAGAGTATAAGGTTGTTTTTATTTGCATTTATGAACAGTTGGGAGAATAAATTCTGATTTCTTTCCAGATTGATAAAAAGGCAATGCACAAAGCTGGAATGGTGCAGAGAGTTCAAAACGAAGTGAAGATACATTGTCAATTAAAACATCCTTCTATACTTGAGGTAAGAATTTATACTAATAATTTGAAATGTTCATGGCTAAGCTTCAATTTATTTCAACTCTTATTTTTCTTTTCCAGTTATATAACTACTTTGAAGATAGTAACTACGTGTACCTGATATTAGAAATGTGCCATAATGGAGAAATGAGCAGATACTTAAAGAACAGAAAGAAGCGTTTCTCTGAAGAAGAAGGTAGGATAGAAATATATTTATTGTTACATTGTCCAACAAATAAATAGTTTGAGATCCAAGGAATCCTTCATATCTACCTGAGGGCTTGGGGATAACAAGTGAGACTACTTTGTTAAAAATGGAGTTTTGTGTCTGTAGCACAATGTGAAAGTGACACTTGTTTTCAGAGTAGTTTATTATGCCGCGTAACATTTTTTGAGAAAACACTGTCCCAAAATTTACTTTGGCATGTGAGGCTCTCTGAAGTTCTCTATATTTTGACCAACTTTTGGTCTGGAGTTAACAGAACTTTTAAAAATATTATGCTGTTATCAGTTTTAATAAGGAGATATTATATAAGTGATGTGATGTTTTTCAAGTTTTTAGCATTGTTACTTGGATAGCTGCCAGCCTCAAAAATGTCAGTATTTCTTTATATGGTAAATTTTGACTAAAAAATGATGCCAGCACTAGTTTTATTATACAAGCAATAGACTGATTTATGATTTTAATACATTCCTGAAAGATTTTCTTTCAGAATGAATTAACAGTCATACAGGTCCATCTTTTGTATAATCTGGTTCCTCACAGCCTTTCCAGAATTTTGTTGCAATTGTGTTATATATGGGTCTCACTGTTA